GGAAAACCCACCAACAATAAATTAGACTATTAATGCTAATCACTAGCGACTACGGGAGAACTATTAGCCCACCCACACTTGTTGTCGCCAAGAATAAACTTTTGTTAACACCACAAGACATTAAAGGAATCTGAGTCAATGTTTGCTTCAACCACGTTTTTTCAAGTCCACGTTTCTTTTTACTGAGTAGCCAAGCCTTCTTTCAAGCCAGGCCCTCTAGCTAGTTTCCAGTTCTCTGCGGAAACTCCGCGACACTCCCAAGCTAGGAGAAAGTTCCTATTTCGGAAGAAAGGAGTTTTTGCATCTGTTCTCTTGCTCTAATTGCTGCCGCTCGAGTGGGACGCAAAGTGTTCGAGATGATTTCCTCAGTTTCTTTTAACTATTCTCCATCCTGCGTCATTTCACTTTCTCGACCACTATCACATTCTAATGGGTAGAGCAGAGTTAGGGATCTGTTGAGCACTTTCTTGGTTGGAAGAAGAACTTTGGCTGCCTGGATCTTTCCGTCATTGTTTGAAATCAGCTCAGTAGTTTTTGCCATTTTCCAGACCCCGCGTGGCACATCTTCCTTTAAAAACACTATCCTGCCTTCTATAGGCTCTTCTGCTGCTTGAATTCGAGGACCCTTTACATGTGTTTGGCGTCTTTCTCGGAGGTTAAGTAAGTAATCACCTTTCCAGACTTTCCAAAGTGAATTAAGGTGTTGCTGATCTTTACCCCAAATCTCTACTGATTTATCAGTTGAGCTCTGCTTTCCATTGTCTGGATCATGGGGGCCATGGATCTCGATTATCGGAATCCCTGACTTGGGATTGAGACCTAAGAAGTCCGCTGGAGTAAGCCAAAATCCAGAACCGAAGTCCTCACCGACGTAAACAAGTGAACGAAAATTAATAACAACCTCTGCCTCTGCTAGAAAGGTTTCAAGCTTCTTATCGGTCAGGCAGATTTTACCAATTGATTTCTTGAGAGCTCCCTTAACAGTGCCAACTAGTCTCTCATAAAAACCAGCAATCCAAGGGGCCAGCTCCACTATAAAGTTCCATTCAATTCCTTGGTTGGCTGTGTAACTTTGCACCTCGTGGTGTGAAATTGTTTCCTTCCAGGCTTTATCAATGGCAATTGTCGTGATCTTAAATTGTGGGGCATTATCTAGTAACTGCTCAGCTGTCATATCCTTTACCAGTTCCAAATGGATGGCTTTGACAGTGACGCAGGTAAAGAGACATACCCAAACCTTTTCTTTTGAACTTTCAGCTTGAATATAAATAGGGCCAAAATAATCTAAACCAGTATAGGTGAATGGGGCAGATAGTGCTACTTTCTTCCTGGGCCATGGAGACATTGATGGAAGTTTGAAGGGTCCACCTTAAAATCTCTTACAGCTACCACAGTCATGAATTGCTTTCTTTACTTCAGCTCTTCCCTGAGAATCCAACATTCATTTCTGAGCTGAGTTAAAGTATGAGAAACACCGGGATGAAACAGCTTACAGATACCACAGTCATGAATTGCTTTCTTTACTTCAGCTCTTCCCTGAGAATCCAACAGTCATTTCTGAGCTGAGTTAAAGTATGAGAAACACCGGGATGAAACAGCTTCTGGTGGTATTCCTTAATGAGTAGTGAAGTGACGTGGCTCCTTTTGGGAAGAAGTATTGGATACACTGCATCAGGAGGTAGTTGAGCATGAATCATTCTTCCATGGCAATGAAGTAGTCCATCTTCATGAAGTTGAATGCCTAGTTGATTTTTGTAATCCTTCTTGCTCACAGTTCCATTTGTGCTATTAAATGCTTCGAGAAAGCAAGTATTCTGGATGAACTTGATCCATAGAGTTTTTGCTTCCTTGATTTCGATAACTTTTAGCTCTCCAGTTTGGGTTTTCTGTTTTCTAGCTTTCTGAACAAATCTTAATAGCCACGCTGTAATTCAAAGAAGCCGAAGAAGCGAAGAATATTTCTTTTCATCCATTCTGAAGGGGGTGACAAAGAATGCTGACTTATCTTTGCGTCAACCTTCCTTTCATTGATGTTTTCTCCAGTCAAGTTGGAGGTTTCATAGAAGGCTTTCGGGCCCTTTGAATCCCTTTCAATCTTCTCCAACGTTTCTTGAGTAATCATTGGGATATCCCAAGTTGGCCATGTTTTCTCACTGTCCTGAAGCCATTTCGGTCCATGCCACCAAAGTTCACATTTGTCCAGATCTTGTGCTGAGACTCCTCTTGCTGCTAAATCGGCAGGATTTTGACTTGTTTCGACATAACCGAAACTTATGTCCTTGTTTCAGTGATCTCCTTGACTTGAAGGAAGAGTTTTCCCTGAGGAGTTGCAGGAGTTAAGAATCCCAGTGGGTCAAAAACTGTAGCGATGGATTTAAGCACTTCTCTTTTCGAGGAACATTCTGTTGGTTAATTTGAACCTTTGACTATCAGGTGATCTTTAATAGTGTTTCAGAGTATTCCAAGCATTTTCGTTATGGTTTCCTTTACTCTATCCCGCTCTGGAATTGACTTCAGAAATTCTTTCGAATTCGACCCCCATCCTCTCAGATTCATGGATGATTCTTGAAATACTTCTTTTGATTCTGAATAAAACTCTCTTGCTTCTTTACTTCAATTGACTCCAGTCAAAAGATTGTCCACATACAAGTGTTTCATAATCTTCTCTGCAGTAGGAGTTCCAACTTGTTCTAAGTGATGGAGAATGGTGGCACCAAGCAGAAAAAGACTTGAGATAACTCCAAATGGGACCCTCGTAAAGCGATAAATTTGCAGATTGTCCTTGGACAGTGGCTTAGTGGGATCTTTAAGCCACAGGAACCTAGTGACATCTCTATCTGCAGGTTGGAGACCTACTTGCAGAAAGGCCTTTTCAAGATCTGCTGTCAGTGCTACTTTGTAAATCTGAATCGTAGTAAAAGCCCACAAAGATCTTCTAAGATGACAGGACCGCGGTACAAACACTCATTTTGGGCTTTTGCTGATGTATCATAGACAATTCTAACTTTACTTGTTTTTCAATCGGGGGTGATGACAGCATGGTGGGGAACGTAGTGCCTTTTACATCCTTCTTCAGTTCTATCATTCACTTCCTCAATGATTTCTGGTAGCTGTTCCAGTAAATGTTTATAAGATTTGAGGTTTCCTTCCAACTTGAGGAGTAATTGATTGGCTTTGCTCTCACTTTCATCCAGAGTAACATCCTGTTGGAGGAAGGTTTGAGTTTGTTTAATTCGATCCTTCAGTCGCTTCTTCGTCGGACCTAAACGCTGACGAATACATCCGCTCATGTTCCACGTTCAAAAGGTTTACAACCTCGATAACCTCGGTAACCTCGCTCTGCCACCGCATGTCGCCAAGGATGCGAATACTTAAACTTTTGAAATAAACTTTTGTTGACACTACGAGAAATTAAATGAATCTAAGTCAATGTTTGCTTCAACCACGTTTTTTCAAGTCCCCCTTCCTTTTTACTGAGTAGCCAAGCCCCCTTTCAAGCTAGGCTCTCTAGCTAGTTTCTAGTTCCCTGCGGAAACTCCACGACACTAGTACTGGACGCAGTTGCCTAATGAAGACCAGAAGTTCGCACTTTGAAACGTAGTAACGACTATCACGAGATAAACGATAAACTAGTCTGCAAAAAGGCTCACTTGTGCGAGTTTGGGGTTGCTTTGGCGGTGGAGCCTCCAGCGCTAACTGGCAAGAAAAATGGGACTGGGAAAAGCGAGTCTGCAGACGAGCTAAGTTTCTGTTTTGATTTCGCCCCTTAAGAGGTTTCAAGTACCATCTAATGGGAACAAAGAAATATGTGAACAAAAATGACAGAAAGATGCACGTGGAGATTTTTGCGGCAGATAGCAAAATATAGTCATGGAAAAAAGGGGAAAAAACCGCTAAAAACAAAACAAAACCCGCTAATCCAGCGAATGACAGTTGCCAAATATGCAAATATGTTATTTTGACGTTAAGCATGGAATTGGAGAATCGCTTTATTTTTTTGGCCGGTTTCGACTGCTCCAGATAACGGCACCACTGCATTAATACACCCTAAAGTCGGACAAGTGAGTCTGTTCACAAGTGGCCTATCAGATTCTTTCATAATATAATTATTTTAAAGAATCCCTAAAGATGTAACCTACACCTTAATGGAACTCGAAAACATTTGTTGAATAGAAATGGTTTAATATCAGGTAAGTGCTATCAGCTGAGGGTTATCGCCTCCTTATCTTACCTGTGCAGTTCTCTCGCTCCGTAGGGAACAAAGTTGTGCTAGCTGGCAAGAAGAATGGGACGGGGAAAAGCGAGCCTGCAGAAGAGCTATTTTTTTTTGTTTTTAATTTCTTCCCTTAAGAGGTAGCAACATACTATCCAATAACAAGAAAGTAAAATCTGAACAAAATTACAGAAAGTTGCACGAGGAGATTTTTGCGGTAGATAGTAAAATAATGTCATGGAAAAAAAAAAGGGCAAAAAGCTTTGACAAAAACGGCGAATCCAGGTAATGTTGCCGAATATGCAAATATTCTTTAACGTTTAATTGTCCTATTCTTATCGCCGGGTTCGCCGTCTCCCGCTGACGGCACCACCGCCTCAATATATAACCCCAAACTCGCACAAGTGAACCTGTTCGCATGGCAACCATAAACAAGCGGCCTATCACATGCTATCATGCTGGAACTATTTAGTTTAAAGAACTCCTAAAGATGTAACATACACCTTAATGGAACTCGAAAAAAATTGTTGAATAGAAATGCTTCTCTATCAGGTTATTCGGTGCTATCAGCTGAGGGTTTTCGCTTCCTTATTTTACCTGTGCAGTTAACGCCGTTTCCGATATATCCTGGTTCGCATGTACAAATGTAAGAGCCTTTAGTGTTGTTACAGAAAGCATTGGAGCTGCAGTTATGCGTTTGTATCTCACACTCGTTTATGTCTGCAAAATAGTAAAATAGAGAGCATTGATTTATTTAGAAGAATATACTTTTTACTGAATGATTCCTTCAATCGTCTGTTAAAATCTTTCGTAGAAAATCATTTTGATGATAAAGTACAGTTTTCTTTGACTGTGTGCGACAATAAAGGTGGCTAAGCAAGAAGACACACCATTTTATGGAAAAACTGATGGTTTGTTCGTTATGTCCTTCGCTACCTACCCCCAAAAAGGAAATGTGTTTCCTCTGTATACCTCCTTTATTAATCTCTGGATGAACATAAAGGAATCTGCCGGTTTCCCCCCTTTTGAGTCCGCTTCGTTCGATTTCTCCCTTTAAGTTTTATCGAAGAGATCCTTAATATGAAAACGCACAAATAGTTACCTAATCCTTTTCGCAGCATTCCAGTTCGAGTTCGACTCTCGATTTGAAGTTCGCACTCTAAGCTCTATTAAGTTCTATCGTTTAACTTACCATGAAAACGCACACTTAATTATCGCGACAGAGCTCAGTCTGAGTGCTTAGCGTGGTTTGCGGTAGATTCGTACTTGTATTGCTAACTTACTCTTACTTAGGCCAGGAAAACACATATAATTTAGGCTAGCTAGAGACTAAATGAAAGTGGCAAGAAATAGGTTTTAACCACTTGTCCGTGCGCATTTTTCTGGCAATGCAGTGTTATTAGGCTCATACAAAAACTAGGAAGATCGAAGGGCCTCTGCTTGCAGGGTAATCAGGCCCATACAACAGTGGCGTTTTGTGCAGCCCCACCCTTAGGTGCGTCTCCGATTACACTTGTTTTGGCCACTTTATTGAGGCCCTGTTAGGCTTAATTTCGACACTGAAGCGAAATGGCCTTAAAAAAGCGACAGAGGACAACAAAATAGCGACAAACGACGAAACTGCGACAGCGACAGAGAAAAGCGCAGTTGTTAATGGTTATTTCTTTTGACACTAGCCTCAATTGTGGAAGATAAAATAACAGAGAACAAAAAGGTGATACCACTGCGTTCCTGCGCCGACTCAGCAAACCATTTCAAATAATGGCAATAAAAAGGTCATACTTGTCCCTAACGTTTTCGTTCAATCAATGTTTTTATGATCATTTACCTTGACAGGTATTACCGTCACCCGTAAAACCCTCTTTACAAGAACAAAGGTAGGAGCCAAGCGTGTTCTTGCAGTTTGCGTTGACGTCACAAACTGGTGGCGTCTTCAAGCACTCATCTTCATCTAATGATATAAATCAGACAGCATAAGGAAAATGTGAGTTATTTCTTAATCAAGTACGCTATCGATCCGCAGAATACAAGGACGACTTTCTTTCGATATACTACGTTAAATCGGCTCATGAGTAATCCAACTGATTTCGTTTGGAATTGCGTATCTCGCAAAAACCTCGTGAAAACTCGGCCCGGTATTGCACTTAAGTTTAGCCCCGCCAGCTGGACAAACTTATAAGGAGAAAAGAGGGATCCAATTGAGAGTGTGTTTGGTGTAGAAAGTTTTATGTAGTTCATACCTTCACGTTTCATGTAGAATCTCAGTTCATCCGTCACAAAATGATCAGGCTTCTCCTCCTTGGTATGGCTGTTAAGCTCACACACTTTGCCCGGAATGTAAAAATTGTAACTCGCACACCTGGGGTCTCTTTCGCAAGTGTTCTGGCACTCAACAATGGCCCTCGCAGCAAACTCTCTGAAGGTGTGACCCTTGAGAGCTTTACCGGGTACTGATCTCTCTGAAGTTTTGCATTGCCCACCAACAGCCTCACTTCCATGCATCTGGGATATAAGACAAATTGTGAAAAGTGCCAGGGACATCATACAGAGCTTGAACTGCGTGTTCTGAAACTTTAAAAAAATTCAGAATAAGCATTAACATCTGTTTCTTTAATTTTAGGAGTTCCTCGAGTTATGAACTCTCTCGTTTGCGGCAAGCTCAATCATGACGGATGTTCCACATTGGTGCCCTTCAGAGAGGCACCCGACTACCCGGGGGTACTCCGGTCCCTATAAAGCATGTATATGAAAGGGTAGGGATTTTACTAGTTGAAGTTTATAATAAAAAGGCCCAATTAAAGGGCTAGGAGATTCATTTAATGTCTTTCATATGCCTGTGAAATAGTCGAGAAATCGTTTTGGTTTTGTATTTTATTCATATTTTTTAGAAAGTGTTTTTACAGCAATTAAAAACTATCTGGCAAAGTTCTAAACTAGGTATGTGAAAGGGGTGCCATTTCTGGCAAAAGTGGTGTATAAAGGGGTAAGGGGAGTGACCTCGGGTCGTAGCCTCCCCTATAAGGTACCTTCCTGCCCGGTGTCAACTATCTTTGTTGGGTAACTCTCTCCTCCCCCCCCTCTCCGGGAAGAGTATTGCAGTCCCTTAAAGAGGCACCAACTAGACGTGCGGCGACCACACAAAGTTCTATAAGTTTCGGTAAAGCTTTTCTCCGAGTATCAGCACGCATATGATGAAAACTGTCCCGCCAGAGCTGAGTCTTTACGCCGGGCCATTTGCATAATTATCTTCTTTCGTCTGCCAATTTCTGAACTTTATCTATTCATCCGCCAAGAACTTTATCTTCATGGGGGTCATTCATTCGCACTTGCGGTTCCGTTAAACGGCTAATTAAGTTTTTTCCAAACAAATTAAAAATAATATCGTGTATGAAATATATTTACAATTTACGATAAACTTCAAGAAGAAGCCTAATGCTCCTCACCAAGATTTCCCATTTCTACAGATTATTTCGGGAAGTTTTTTTTTGTTATCATCGTGAACATGAAAGTGAAATACATGTTGACCTAAAAAAGGCTAATTTATCACAAAATGACAGTCTTCATAATTTATTCACGAAATGTTATCTCAGAGGACCTTTAAACACTACTTTTTTTAGAAGATTTTGAATTGCAGTCGGCAATGTGAACTTCCAGCGCACTCATCTCGATTTAATTTTAACTAATGAGCCCTATAGACGAATAATATATTCTGGAGTTCTACTAAACAGTTATTGAATAACGCAGAGTAAGATATGAAGAATTATGCTGATGAAAGAGGATATTATCCACCTCAGCAGGCATCTTGCAAGACCTGCATAATTATTATTCTGATTCTTTCCTTTTGAAAATTCGCCAAACAAACCTAAAGCCACAAATATGTAATATATAGATTTAGCCAGGGCTAAAAGCGAAGCTCCAATTAATAAATTTATAATTTAAATTAAAAAATAAACTTTTAATCCACAAATCATTTAACTTAAGGGCACATTCATGTGACTTTTGAGGGAAAGGCTAAGTTATTTTAGAGTGAAACATCTTACATCGAATTGATAACCTTATATGTACACCCAAAAAATAGCAAACATCTTCGATCACATTCAAGATCACAGTAGATTAGGCCTCGAAAACAAATTCTTGGAAAACAAATCACGCCGAATTTTTTTGCGTTCGAGAGGTTTACTTTACAAATTCTTGCCAACAAATCTGGGGGTGTTTAAACCAACCTTTTATAATTTTTATACATCACATTTGAGGTGAAACAGTACTATTTATCACACAGACCTCGGACAGAATGCAGTATTTCACAATTTTTCAAGACAAATTGCACTCAGTCAATATTCAGGACGATCAATCGTAAAGCGAAACCGTTCAAAAATTTCCAAAATCACCCATATGGCTAGCCGGTTCTCGTTTCTATAGTGCGAGCTGTCAGTGTGGTCGAGTGTTTGAATGAACTTTAATAGAGTTAAGCTTCAACATAATAGCGAATTTATTATTTTTTTTTTTTGTTATTTAATGGTTTCAGTTATAACGATGTGTAATCTTATAAAGCGTTTGATACGCGCGACATTTTTGAGTACTCCTGCAAGCGATGTTCATGAACGATGAAAACAAACGGCACAGACAAGCGATTAAAATTGCAAGAGAGACTACTAACAATCAAAAAAAGAAATATAATTCGGTGAAACATTTACAGAGATAACAATTTTCATTCATGAAGACAAGTATTAAAGTGTCTCTAAAAATCCTGAGTCTCGGCGTGAAGCTTTATAAGCCGGCTTCCCGGCGCGGGTGTTTACTGTTTTCCAAGGTGAACTCCTCGAAGCAAGAAAATCGCTCAAAGTTTTCTTTCTACAGCCAAATTTATAACTAAATATTCTTCGGAACGTTTTCTTTCTATCTGTGGTGAGCAAATATATCTGAAGGCTTTTTAAAGTTCTGTAAGCTTATATCAAACCGTTCAAACCTGATACTAGGTCAGATCATTGACTCAAACTACGGCTACAAACGTGCATAAACTTGCCGCATAAACTGTCAGCGTGAATGTGCAAGACTTCATGAAATTAGATATAACAAAAACAAACATCAAATACAATAGTTACTCAGGCTTACCATTCGAGATTCAGTTCCTGAAAGCTATCAAGGAAGGCCACAGTTGCTTGAGACTTTTAAACCCTCTTAAGCATTAAGCAAGGTGAAAAACGAAAACGATGCCATCCGAAATCGAATTACCAAATTTTGACAAGCGACGCGTTCCTCAACCAAAAACCCAGTAAACAAACCAGCCATGAATAACAGAAGACTCTTGATAGCAGCTGTATTTCATTTTGTACATCCAGAAGAAAAAGGCAGTTAAAAACATCACAAGTTGACACAAAACTCTTCAGCTTCAGCTGTCAAAGTAAACAATTTTCAAGATGCTGCATAATTTTTTCGCATGAACTCACCTGTCAAATTTTGACCAATCAGAGTATAAAAATTGGACGTAGAGCGTGACCGACGCGTGACCATGGTAAGATAAGGTCTTCCCCGCCTGTACTTTTAAAAAAACTGGCTGAATTTTCGCTTCCGAAGTCAGTTTGAAATCAAAATTCTAATAGTGCGGGGCCATAGTGACATAAACACAACATATTTGATATGAATCCTTGGAAAAAATAAACATGAGCCTGCGATCATTTCAAACTGGTAATTTTTCAGCGGATAACTTCAAAAAATACTCGACCTCGATGGGTCGACACTTGAGCCCGCGCTACGGTCAGGTGATACTGGTCAGCGGATGCCATATTTTGACAGCTGTCAATTGATCACAACATTGATGTGAAGTTAGTTTTCTCTTGGGATCCCAAACTAGCTAAAATGTGAGAGTAAACATTGGTTTTCCTGTGGTGCGGACGGACGGTCGGTCGGCGGTCGGCGGTCGGCGGTCGGCGGTCGGTGTACGGTCACGTGATTACCAAATTTTCTGGGATGGGTAGATTTACTTAGCAATGGGGCTCCGCCCACACGCGCGCTTCGCGCGCGCGTGGAACTCCGCTAATAATTATGTAATGACGTTTAATGGCCCATTGCCAACCATGATGCAACGCGGCCGTTTGTTTCTTTTTTGAAATCGTGCTTGTGCGAATGGCGCACTCTGACTGGTTCAACAACGCTTGAAAGAATTATTAACATTTTTTGACAGGTTCGTCGCCAACGGCACGGGTGAAATTTTTTTGGACCAGTATCGCACAGTACACGGTTCGAACGGATGAAGTTTTCGAATGGATAGTCACGAGCCGTTCGAACGGATAGCCTGAGCCGTTTTGGCTATCCGTTCGACAACGGTAAACCTATGTACAAAACACTATAAGAACAATATGAAAGGATAAACAGGGAACGTATTTACAATAAGCAAATGAGAAATATGAACAGTATTGCTTTTAAATGTGACGATAACGAAAGCCTTTTACTGCTATCAGAAATTTCGCGTAACACGAAATTCGGGAATTGTGTTCGCTGCGTGCAATGCATCAAGGTTGCCAATCAACCTTCAGAGAGGACCTACGTAATAATCAACCAGGCGTCTAATTGGAAAGAGTGAAAAATGATTTTTTTCCTATAACGGATAATTTAAAACACTTTTGTTTTACGTCTGCTTGGGGAAGTAGTACTCACACTTTCTATCCAACGATTTTTTTTCTCAGTCCCAATGGAATCAGAAATAGACAGCAAATACAGCAGAATGCATTATTTTTCAGAGACTCATGTATTCAAAATAAAGATTGTCATGTAAAGATATCTGTTTTTTATCGCGCGACCTTAAGTCAGAGAAACGTTAGATTACCAAATTGATTTCAAAGTATATTTCACCATATACCCGGTCGGGCTAGATCTCCTTAGAACACACAAAAATGTCAGATATATCTAAGGGAGCTCATTCAAGAAAATCTCTCTTGGAAATACCATATCGCGAGTAGGTAAAACATTTCGGCGTTATTGCTATGCTATATCAAGTGCTATACCACTCTATATATACTTTACCACATATAAAGGACACCACTACATGATGACACCTATCCAGCTTTATTTATTAAAGCTAGTGCGTTAATAAGACACCTCTAGTCAGTCCTAAATCGATCGCGGATCCGATTTTCTGACATTCAGCTGAAAGAAACTGCAAATAGAAACTTTAGAGGGCAACATTATACAGTAATTGATATTCAAACCCTCTTGTTCCTTTTGTTCGATGCCATAATGATGGATTAAACCGATGGATTTAAACCGTTCTTGTTTCCGTTAAGTAGCAAAGTTCAGTCATCTGCCTCGTTCGCAATGACTTGACGAATCTTCTCTTTGACTGTTTCAGCTGCTTGTCTTCTGATTCTGGTTCGTTCAGGCGGTTGGCTTTGTGCGGTTGGCACTCCTTTGTCACTCGCTACTGCCTGTCTTATTTCCAATAGGCACACGAGGTTAAGCGGTCTGTCAATGTGGTGTCCCTTGTGAAGCAACGATAATCCTCGGACAACTCCATCCTTTCCTTGAATATGTCTTACAATCTTTCCCTT